CGCCATCTTTGGCCTTCACCTGCAGCTGGAATTCCCTGAACTGCTCATAGTCAAAGGATCGCTGGGCGTAGATGATGCCGGTCTCAGAATGAATGGAAATATAGGAGGAGATGGGAAGTTCTTCAATGTTGCTGGTGAGGATTGAATATGCGATGAGTGAGTTTTGATTTACATCCGGATCAAAAGCCTGCATCTGGAAGATGGAGGCACCAGAAGGATTGTTCTCTGGCACATAGATGCTGTAAGAAGGTTTTTCAAAAGCAGGAGCATTGTCATTGATATCAGAGATCTGCAGCAAGATGGTTTTATTTGCGCTCAGTGGAGGGCTTCCCTTGTCAATGGCTATGATTGTAACATTATACTGAGATGCTTTTTCTCTGTCCAGAGGTTTGTCTGTCATGAGCTTGTAATAATTTTTAGATGATGGAAGTAACTTAAATGGCAAATCATTTTGCAAATAGCAAGTAGTCTCTCCATTATCACCTGCATCCTTGTCATTTACACTGAGGAGAGCAATCAGAATTCCAGGAAGTGAATCTTCAGGAATTGGACTGAACACAGAGGTTAGAGTTGTCTCTGGGGGATTATCATTCTCATCTAGAACACTTATTTCAATATTGGAGTGTGCTATTAATCCACCCCCGTCTTTTGCTGCAACTGTCATTGTATATTGTTTTATTTCCTCAAAATCCAATAGGGCCTTAAGAATGACAGTTCCTTTAGCAGAATCCAGGCTGAATTTGTCCTTTGCAGCTGCTGGTAAGTTGGTGAAATGATATGTGATTTGGGCATTTGTCCCTTCATCTTTATCAGAGGCTTCCACCTGAATCACAAGGGATCCAATTGGAACACTTTCTTTCAAATTAACTGCATATATATCTTGAGTGAAAATGGGCGGGTTGTCATTGGCATCAGTGACATTAATCCATATATGGGCAGTTCCAGTTTTCCTTGGTTCACCCCCATCTAGGGCTGTAAGGATCAAGTGAAGGGTCTGTTCGCTTTCCCGATCGAGGGGTTTCTGCAGCACCAGTTCTGCATATTTAACTCCATCTTTTCTTTCTCTAACTTCTAGTGTAAAATGTTTATTTGGACTCAGTATGTAATTTTGGACAGAATTGAGGCCAACATCTGGATCTTCTGCTTTCCCTACCTGAAATCTTGTACCTGGCAAAATTTGTTCACTTGTTTCCAAGCTGATATTGCTATTGTGGAATTTGGGTGCATTATCATTAATATCCTGGATTGTCACTGATATATGGAAAACATTCAGAGGGTTTTCAAGTACTACATCCATATTGACAAGACAAAGAAGAAATTCGTCACATAGTTCTTCCCTATCAATCCTGTCATTCACATAGAGGTTTCCATTTTTGGCATTGATACTGAAATAATGCATCTGACCTACAGAGACAGCATTCAAATTTCTCCTAGATAGCTCTTGGATATTCAGTCCCAGATCCTTAAGAAGATTCCCTACTACAGATCCTTTAGCCATCTCTTCAGGTATTGAAAAGCCAATTTCTTCTGAAGCAATACAGCAGGAACATGATAATAATAAGAGAAGCAATACTTGCCTTCTGGCTGCCCTTCCACTGTCTTTGTTCTTTCTATCCATTCAGCTGTCTTCAGAGTTTCTGGTTTCACCTCACAATTAGTAGTGAATTTCCTTACAGTGCAATAAATCTATGTGAAAATTAACTTTTCCTTTAATTGTTTAGACTGCAAATATTAGATCTGTATTTTTCTGTGGTCTGCTGTTTGCCCATTATGTACAACACTATAGGAGAAAAGTATCAATTAAACAATATTGGCTCACCAGCTTTTCTTCCCATACCACATTGTCCAACAGTGACACTCTGAGGATCAGTCAGAAAATTGCATTGAATATTTTCCTATCCAATTTAAAATAGAAATGCTATTTCACTGTGATTTGTTTTTCTCATAAAAATAAGTTTATTTTGAAAATATGTTTGAATCTTAATTTTAAGGTATTATTTTATTTCTCCATTTGTTTCTTCATGTAAGCCACTGAATATGACTTTAGCTTCCATATTATTGCTTTGTAATTATTATTCATAATTACATGGAATTATGTAATTCTAACAATGACAGTTATTTGAATTATGTGAATTTGTGCTTTTTTTATTTTAAAAAAAGGACCTATCAAAATGTAATAAAATGAGGCTCCTGAAAACATTACGTTAGCACTGTCACCTTAAAAGTTAAAGTTCTATCTTCTCTTCTCTTGCTGAGAAGGCTGAAACATATTATTTTAAAGATGTAAAGGAGATAGCTGTATTTGCTGCAGATGGTAATACGGAAGATTTGAATGGGCAGTGACCCTGATCCACAATCACTTATGCAAAAATGAATTACCATATTTTTTGCTCCAGAAGACACACTTTCACCCCCCAAAAAGTGGGTGCAAATGTATTTGCATCTTGTGGAGCAAACAATAAGGGCCGCAGCGGCAGGGTCATCTTCTGTCTTTATCATTGCCTGTTTTCCTCCTCTAAACCTAGGTTTGTCTTATGGTCAGGTGCTTATTATAGTGCAAAAAATATGGTAATTCATTTTTGCATAAGTGATTGTGGATCAGGGTCATCTTCTGTCTTTATCATTGCCTGTTTTCCTCCTCTAAACCTAGGTTTGTCTTATGGTCAGGTGCTTATTATAGTGCAAAAAATATGGTAATTCATTTTTGCATAAGTGATTGTGGATCAGGGTCACTGCCCATTCAAATCTTCCCTATTACCATCTGCAGCAGATTA